CTTCTTCTTCTGGTACCCCTATAATACGGATATTTTTCCTTTTGGATTGTTCACACAGTTCTCTTAGTATTGTTTCACTCCTGGACTTCCTTTTATCTCTGTCCATGCCAGCTTCTATACGTTCCTGTGCTCTGGTTTCTATTCCTTCAATGGCCTCTTGCATCTTATTCATTCTGCTTATAAATCCTTCCTGGGTTTATTTGACTTCTTTAATCTCCTTCCTGGCATCTGTGATCTCTCTCTGGACTTCATCCCATTGCTTTTACATTTTTCTCTGCATCTCCATCAGCATGTTCATGATTTTTATTTTGCATTCTTTTTCAGGAAGACTGGTTAGGTCTGTCTCCTCAGGTGTTGATTCTGTGATCTTTGTCTGCTTGTAGTTTTGCCTTTTCATGGTGATAGAGATAGTTTGCAGAGCTGGTACGAGTGACAGCTGGGAGAGCTTTCCTTCTTGTTGGTTTGTGGCCTTCTCCTCCTGTTAGAACAGCAAGCTCTAGTGGCTTGTGCTGGGCAGCTGTGCGCAGATAGGGACGCACAAACAGGGCTTCTGCTTCCTGCCCGGTTAGTTTGGAGTTTATCTCCACTGTTGCTGTGGGCGTGGCCTGGCTCCAGCTGCTACTCCAAAATGGTGGAGCCCCCTTGGAGTGGGAGTGGCCATGAGGCTATTCATCTCTGTAAGGGGCCTCCATGCTCCCTGCTGCCCATGGGGTTAGAGTGCCCAGAGATCCCCAGATTCCCTGCCTCTAGACTAAGTGTCCCACCCTGCCCCTTTAAGACTTCCAAAAATCTCTTGCCAAATTAAAACAACCAGAAAAAAAATTTTTTTTTAATAAATAATTTTTAAAAAACGCACAATTTTCTTTGTCCTCAGTCGCCGGCCTCAGGCACCCACTCACAGGTCTTGCTACCCTGTTTTCCTAGTATTGGGACCCCTGTCCCTTTAAGTCTTCCAAAAAGCACTCGCCAAAAAAAAAGAGGAAAAAAAAAAGAAATGGCCACTCCTGTTTCTTTGTTCTCCTGCATCAGCCTCAGGCACCTGCTCACTGGTCTTGCTGCCCTGTTTCCCTAGTATCCAAGACCCTACACATGCACTGTGTCTGTGCTGTGGTCTGGATGGCTGGGGCTGGGTGTTCAGCAGTCCTGGGCTCCCTCTCCTTCCCCGCTCCGACTCCTCTCCTCCCGCCAGGAGTTGGGGGGAGGGGCGCTCGTGTCCCGCGGTGCTGGAGCTCATATCTTACCCCCTTCATGAGGCACTGGTTTCTTGCAGGTGTGGATGTGGATGTGGTCTGGATGTTGCCTGTGTCCTCTGGTCTTTATTTTAGGAAGAGTTGTCTTTGTTATATTTTCATATATATATGTGGTTTTAGGAGGAGATTTCCACTTCTCTACTCACGCCGCCATCTTGGCTCCTTTTAGGGTTTTAATCATTAAATGATGTGCTTTGTCAATAACTGTTCTGTATCTGATGAGATGATCATGTTACTTTTATCTTTCATTCTATGACTATACTTGATCCTATTTATTAATTTTGTTTATTGAATGATTGCATACCAGGGACCAATCTCCCTTGATCATTGTAGATAATCCATTTTCTGTGCTATTGAATTGTGTTTTATTTTTTTGCCAATTTTTCAAGAGTAATTTTGCATTTACATTCATCAGTAATATTTGTTAATATTGGTTGGTAGTTTTCTCTCAGCATTTTTAAGTGGCTTTGGTAAAATGTTAATGCCATCCTCCTAAAATGAGATTGGGAGTGTTCCCTTCTCTTAACTTTTTAGAGACATTTGAAAATGAATAACAATACTACTTTTTCATAAGTGTTTGGTGGATTTGACCAACAGAAGTCCCTGAGCCAGAGCTGTTCTTCATTGGGAAAGTCTTGATTACTGATGATCTCTTCAGTTATTATTGTTCTTCCAGATTTTCTCTCTCTTCCTGAGTCCTTCTTGTATGTTACTAGGAATCTTTCTATTTCCTCTAAGTTATCATAAGTTTTGGTATATAGCTCTTCATAGCAGTCTCTTATGATCCTTTTTATTTCTGTATTATCCATTTTAATGCCTTATATTTCATTTCATATTTTATTTATTGAGTTTTCTCCTTTTTTCTTTGTCTGGCTAAACGTTTGTCAAATGTGTTTATATTTCAGTGAATTATTCTGGTAAGATAACAAATTAGAATGAAAACTTAGTTTCACATTTTAAAATGTTGTACAGATTAAAGGTTTAGATTCTGAAAATGAAACTTGAAAATAAGAAAGCAAACAGATAGGTGAAGATGGTACCATGGAAAATAAACTAAGATTTAAAAATTTTTTTAAAATCTAAAGAGAATAATAAGAGGAAGGCCAATTGAAAACATGTTTAAACTAATGGAATTTATTTGAAACTTATATTAAAAGCAAAAGAATAACATCTTACGTCTTAACAGAAAAAGATTAACATACCAAGTTAATAAATACCACAAACATTTTGTTGAAAAATTTACAGAAACAAACAAATTAATCAGCGATTAAAAATGCAAATTACACCTGCAATAGGATGCTTTTACTTGCTGAATTATGTGTAAGAAAAATTATGATTATAATGATTGTGAGAATGATAAAACACCCAAACTGTTTTCTGTGGTAGATCAGGGTAGATTCTTTTTATGCATTTGATGTACTTATTTTTATTTAAGTATAGTTGATATACAGTACTGTATTCGTTTCAAGTATACAACGAATTGATTTGACAGTTACATGCATTATTAAATGCTAACCCCAACTAGTGTACTTACTGTCAATCAAGAAAGATGTTCAGAACTACTGACTATATTCTCTATGCTGTACTTTCATCCCTGTGACTAATTAATAGAATGACTGAGATCAGAGTAGATCCTTCATGTAAAGCATCTGAAATCTGAATGTGACAGCACTGTCTTATTTTAAAAAGTGTGTTGTTAGTCAGAGTAAAGAATGTATACTCATTCTAGGGTTATTTTATGTTATCAAAAACTTCTATGAAGCTTACATTTTATAGAACACTTTATATAAATTATGTTACTAATATAAAATACTATGGAGATTTAAATTAATTTAAAAGAGTGATATTTCTAAAAATATTTAAAGAAGACATAAAATTATGGTGTATAATTTTAATCTTTAGGTAAAAAAAGAGCTATAAGCAGTTAAAATTATTCTATTTCTAACATAATTTATATACTATATATTTATGCAAATTTACATTATTTATTAAAAATATATATTTAAAATAAGAAACCAAAGTAAATATATTTGATGGTGGGATTAGAGTTTGGTTTATTTCTTCTTCTGTTTCATATATATGTTAAATTCCCTATTGTTCTGATAAAATGCATTTAGAGTGCGACACCAAAATCTTTGAAGAGTAATTCAAAAAATTTTAGTAAAAAATAAGTAATAACATTGATTCAAATTCATTTTTTCTTTACATAAAGAAAAGTGAAACTGTGCTTTCTTTCAAATGCAAAAATCACGATGATAAACTAGGACATTCTTCTCTAAATGCAACTTTTAACGCAGTATCACATTCTGAGCCAGGTGGAGGTAAGTGCCTGGAATAAACTCTGTGGACACTGAAAGAACTATAGACATGGTACACGTTGATGGAACAAAACGGATATTCTCTAGTTAATATTCAAGTGCAGTGAAGAAATGAGATGAACTCATGCATAGTCCTTGGAACTTAGCATAGAGTGAGATTATGACCTATCTCCCCATATCTGGGCACAAGCCTCTTGCTTAGCCACAGCCACCTGAACTTTCTGTAGGAGGCACACATCCCCAGCACCAGACTGTGTTTCTGTGTTTTTAAGAAGAATACTAACGGACATTTGTGGAGCAAGAATTAGAGAGCTTTCATAATGCTTTCATTTCAGTACTTTTATACTGTTTGGTGGCATTTTGTGCCAAAAAGTAGCAGGCACTATTACACTGTCATTCCTATCATTTTGACTTGAATTCCCTAAGGTGGGCATTATTATATCCATTTCCTTGATGACAATATTGACTTGGGACTTTTTATTTACATACAATAATTTGAATTACTTCAGTTAAGATGAAGGAACCAGGTGTCCAACTTAGGACGCTGCATCTGAGGCCTGATGCCATGTTGGCTCCTCAGGCACGCAGGGAACGGCTCAGGGGCTGGGACTCTGGCTGAGAGTCCGCATGGAGAGCGGAAGCGCCTTGTTCCAGGGATAATCCCCACTTCACGTGTTCCTGTTCACATCGCCAAACAATGTAAATAATGCTCTGCTACACCGAAGGACTATACATTCCAAAGATGAAATTTTAAGTTTAATATTTCATCTGAAATATGTTATAGAGCCACTGCATTTACAGCGATGAGACAACCTGGGGGCATCTAAGGTAATTATCTATTAAGGATGTTGTGATTATAGGTTCCTGAGATGAATCCCAAGGGTTGTTCCTTATATACCCTTTTCATGTAAAAATCAAAACCTTATGGAGACAGAGTGTGTCCCATAGATCTATTTTAAGGGAACTCCCCCCACCCCCCTGTATCCCATGTTCCAAGACCCCCAGTAACACTGCTAATGCTTGCACTCTGAGTACATGACAGGCTAGCCTTTCTACAACATCCATTTACATCTTACTCGTAGTTTTGTCCAAACCCCAAAGGAATGGCCAATAATAGTTTCCCAGGGGGCTTCATCCTTCTGGGCTGCTCTGAGTGGTCTCACCTGGAAACAGTTCTCTTTTGGCTTGTGATCCTCTTGTACACAAGGATCGTCCTCTCCAACTCAGCCATCATCCTGCTCTCCTGTGTGGACCCTCTTCTCTCCACCCCCATGTACTTCTTCAGCAATCTCCCTTCCTGGATCTTTGCTTTACCACAAATGCTGTGCCTCAGATGTTGTCCAACCTGTGGGGGCCAAACAAGAGCATCACCTACACAGGCTATGTCCTCCAAGTCTGTGTGTTGCTCTGTCTTGGGGCCACAGAAGGCATCATGCTTGTGATGATGGCCTTTGACCGCTATGTCGCTATCTGCCGGCCCCTGCACTACACCGTCATCATGAACCATCCGCTGTGCTGGAAGCTGGTGCTCACGGCCTGGCTGTGCCGCCTGCTGGAATCTGTGACCCAAACGCCCATCACATTCCAGCTGCCCTTCTGCGCCCACCACCGCCTGGATGACTTCCTGTGTCAGGTGCCTGCCCTCATATGCCTGGCATGCACAGACACCTCAGCCAGTGGGTTGCAGATGACCATCTCTGCTCTCCTCTTCACCATGGTGCCAGTGGGGTTGATCCTGACTTCCTATGGCTTCATAGCTCAAGCCCTGGGGAAAATACAGTCTAAGGAGGGAAGGCAGAAGGCAATCACCACCTGCTCCTCCCACCTCACTGTGGTCTTCATTTTATATGGGATGGTGGCCATGGTGTACATGGATCCTGAGAACCAATTTGGTTCAAAACACGGCAAGTATGTCACCTTCTTCTTCACCATGGTTACACTACTGCTGAAACCCCTCATCTACACCCTGTGGAACAAAGAGGTTAAGGGAACCCTGCAAAGACTCCTGAGGAAGGGGGGCAGCATGAGGGGAAAGAGGAATGTGATATTTTGAACCAGAGCAAATGTTTTAAATCATGGCATCACTCATTCTACATAAATAACTATTTCAATCATCATATAAAGAGGTATGTTTATCTCAGAGGAACTATTTAATGTATTATTCTTTATTCCTGTATTTTAAAGTTGGATTTTGGTTAAGAAAATATATATAAATGTAGTATCAGTTTTGTCCATGTGCTGTGTTTAAAATATACTTGTCACTGAGAAATTACTATTTTCAGAGTTAATGTTTAAAGAATTACTACTATTATTTTGTAAACATAAGCAGCATGGGATGAACATTTTTTAATTAATTGAAATATGCCTTTTCAATAAATTATTAATGATCTATTATATGTGTGTTTTTAAATAAAAATATGAATAAAATTTATATTATAGATTTTTCTCCATGAGCCTGAATGGGGGAAAATTTCCCCCTAATTACCCTAAGTTTTTATTACCTATGCAGTCTTTCCATGGTAATTTGACTGTGAGGATGACATGTTGGGTACAAACGAGGAATGTCACCTGCCAATGCAGTACAATATTTTTCTATCTGGAATTTCCAGAAGGTGAACCATGACAATGAAGTGCCTCCGATCTTCACTAACTATATGAGACCAGAAGGGGTGTGGACGTCTTATCCTATGACACAAAAAATTGTGTATATTTAATCCAAACTTAATTTCTATGTGATTATAAATATGTTATATATTTAGGTAAATATTTTCTTCTACTTGCATAAACTAAGGCCATTTTATAATAACACAAAGTAGGAAAAAGCAAAGGTATGTGACTCATGAATTCTCTATGTCCTTTGTTGTGAATTTGCATAAACACAAATTTGCCTAAATCCAAGTGAGTTTTTACAAATGCAACTCAGGTATAAAGTGTGCTCTCAGCAGGTTAGCACAATGATTGACTTGGAAATTTCCTTTAAGGTTTACTGAACATTTTCTAGGCCTCTGTGGTATTAGAAATAACTAAGATACCACCCATGTAAATAAATTATAGGACATACCCATTTTCTGGCTTATCCCAGAGTCTTGCAGTGGTTACTAGGTGTCATTACCAAGTGTTAGTTTCAGTAGAGCAGACCTGGGTGGTGGTGAACAGTGGAATGATATCACATGCATAAAAGCAAGAGTCTCAGCGGAAGGTGTTGCCTGAAGATGAGGGGAGGGGAATATTTGTGTGCTATGCTGTGGAGTCAAGCTGGAGTTCCTTTTTCAGAGCTGTTGCAAGGACAGGGCACTTCATCAACAGGCTAATAAAATTTCACAGAAGGAAGAATTGAGGAAAATACTTGTTACACCATTGGGTGACCCAGCGAAGCTGTAGCTGTGTGTTTACTGTTTCTTTTCTCTTACCATTCCTCTATTGCTTTACTTTTTTTCCCCCCAGTATCCCATCAAGTCCTTCTTTGAAATAAACTTTATTATTTATTACATTTCTTTCTATTTTAAACCATTTTATCCTCCATTAATTGGTTGCTCCCTGTTAGTCTTATTAGCTGTATGAATTGGTGTTTTGAACAGCATGCATCCTTGTGCATATACTGAATCACAGCAAAGGGCACACACAATGGTAAGGTTGTACTTGCTCAACCGATGGAGGTTGTTTAATATTTTAAGACATAATTCCAGTTAGCAATGCACCCCAGTACCCTTATGCAAACTGGCACTGACCTTTACTTACTAATGACTCAAAAATTTGGACACTAACTCTGAATAAAAATATAAAAAGGCAGCCATGTCATTACACAGTCAATGAGACATAGAAGACTCCACTCAACAACAAGAGAATATACATTGTTTTCAAGCATCCAGAAATGTTATTCATTATTGACCTCACACGAGGGCATAAAACAAACCTACATACATTTGAAAGTGTTGAAATGCTGTAGAGTGTGTTTTCTTACAATAATGTAATAGCACAGGAACTCAACTACATATTTTTAGGAAAGTCTATAAACACAGAAATTAAACAATACTTTTCTATTTGGCCATGGGCCAAAAAGGAAATCTTAAAGGAAAATGTCCAGGCAATAGAGCCATCAGTTGTGAATTCTAAACCTGGTAAACCATCATTTAAGAGTAAGAGAAAAAACAATTAAAAATACATTTTCAGATTTTTGTTTTAGACATGTTAATTAACCACTGACTGAAGAACTCTTCAAGCATAAATACCTAAGTACCGAGAAACTGGGAGCTTTTTGAGAAAAGCTGGAAAGCAAAAGGATAACCCGTATTTAGTTTAGGGGAGCTAAGAAAGGAAATGATTAGGCTGGCGGTGGGAGAGCTCATGAGCAAGGTACCTCACCCTGAAGGGACCCTCTGCCAGCTTTAGGTGGAGTGACCAGGTATTTCTACACCCCGCAGGTGGATTAAAACAAGAGGCTTGGCTGCCAGTGTGCGTATCAGGCCATTGAACCTATATCCTCACACCCTCTTCATGAGGCTGAGTGACTAAGCCTCCACTAACCGGCACAACACTCCCATTGTACTTTACAGAGATGCTGAACACCTAGGGGTTCTGGAATTGGAAAAGTAGGCAAAGCACAGGGTAAATACTGAATGAACACAACAGATTGTAAGGCATCCCATCTCCATGTCCCCACTTGGGCTGTTGGTGCAGGGAGCAAGTTACCAGCCCTCCAGTCTTTTTATAGAAAACAGGTCATCCCAAATAAAATACCTGTAGTTACTCACATTTAGGGTTTCCCAAGTGAATGAATCACTTCAATTACAGTTCAGTGAAGCTCATCAGTTATTATGACTCACTCTGGTCCAGAGATCTTCCCATATGCAAAGAGGCAGGGATCAACTATCTTATGAAAAAAACTTTTTAAGTAAAAAAGATGGATATCAAAACAAAAAAAAAGAGGGAAAAAAAAGAATAAATAGTATATGCAGGGAACAAAAGGACTATCTCAAAAGGAAACTGTGATTTGTCTTCTCAAAGAGAAAAGTTCATGTGAATAGATATTAAACTAGAGCATGATGATATGAAGATAGCATTGAAGAATATTTTAATTGACTAAACATGTTTTCCTATTGCATTAAATATTGTGAAATAATTGACAAATATAACTATGTATTTAAAGTAGCACAATGTGAAAATATATGTACATACATAAATAAATAAAAAATACTCTGGTCAAGATAATTTTCACCTCACATAGTTAATTGTGTGTGTGTGTGTGTGTGTGTGTGTGTGTGTGTGTGTGTGTATGTACATGCGTGTGGATAAAATAAAGGTTCCTGTGGCCAGGATTCTCACCTGGCCCTGGTTCGCTAGCTCACTACATACATGTGGGCAATGCATTGTTATTGACTCTATATAGAGAGCCCTGCCCAGTGCTCTGGGCTGCATGGTGGCATGGCTGCAAGGCTGCAGGAGAGCAGAGAAGAGGCTGGAGTGGTGGTAGTGCCAAGAGGCCCAGAGGACAGCTGTGCAGGCAGACAGGCCAGGAGGCAGAGACCGGCTTGCTGCATGCAGACTCACTTTGAGTGGATGGGATTTTAGTGACTGACCTGCCACCATGGGAATAAAGTTGGGTATAACCCTTTCACCCCAAGAATGTTCTACTGTCATTTCTTTGGTCACATAGAACCCATAGTGAACTTGCCAGGGCCTAAACCCATTGGAAAGACAATGTGTGCATGCTAAGAAATCTTAAGCTTATTTTTAGTAATTTTCAAGTATACAATACATTATTACTTAACTACACTTAATATATCATGTATTAGATCCTAGGAACTTACTCTTCTTACAATTGAGAAGTTATACCCCTTGTTACATTTTGCCATTCTACCCTCCCCTCACTCTGTGGCAACCACCATTCTAATCTCCATTTCTTTGAAATCAGCTTTTTTATTTTTAATGTATAATCCACATATACATGACACTATGCAGTATCAGTCTCTCTCTTTCTGGACTGTTTCACATAGCATAATACTCTCCAAGCTCATACATGTTGCAATTGGCAGGATTTCTTTCACATTTATGACTGAGAAATATTACATTAAATGTATATAAATATATTTTTTTCTTTATTCATGCATATGTGAAGGAAATTTAGGTCATTTCTATATCTTGACTACTGAAAATAATGCTGCATTAAACACAGATGTGCTGCTATCTTTTCAAGATTCTGTGTTTAACCCCATTTGATACATGCCCAGAAGTGGGATTGCCGCATCATATGGCAGCTCTATTCTTACTAGTTGGAGAACTACTATACTGTTTCCCGTGATGCCTGTACAATTTACATTCCAGTTTACACGATTTCCATTTTCTCTGCATCACCATCAACACTTATTGATAAGAGCCACCCGAACAGGTGTGATGTAATATCTCATTTTGGTTTTGATTTGCATTTCCCTGATTACTAGTGATATGGAGCCCATTTTTATATATCTACTTGCCATTTTTTTGTCTTTTTTGGGAAAAAAGTTCTATTTAAGTCTTCTGACCATATTTTGATTGGATTGCTTGCTTTTTTTGTTATTGAGTTACATGAGTGACATATATTTTTAATATTAACCCCTTGTCAAAGATCTGGACTGAAAACATTCTCCCATTATGTATGCTTTTAATTTTTTGTTTGTTCCATTTGCTGTACAGAATTTTGTTGGTTTCATATATCCCACATGTTTATTCTTTTGGTGTTTTAGCCAAGTAATCATTGCCGAGGTTGGTACCGAGTGTCTTTCTCCCTAGGTTTTTTCTAGGAGCTAGGATTTCATCTATAAGCATTTAAGTCTATAATCAATTTCAAGGTAATGTTTGTGTGTGGAGTTTGGGTTCCAGGCAAGACACCAAAATGATGACCGTGTTCCCCAGAATGTTAAAGATGTAGAAGAGCAAAATTGTGACAGAAAGGATCCTCCCCAGCTGGGGCTGCTCAGAAAATCCCAGCAGAACAAAGCCCTTTTCAGAGCTGTTGTTGTATTCCCCCATTGTCCTGCAGACTTCAGTTCATCAAAGGGTTTCTTTCTGGGGAAAGGA